TAGTGCATTAACCCATAGTGCCACATAGAATTCTTCAATTTCATCGTTACTGGCTTTAGTGGTTGGTTTCATAAATTTGAATAATAGTATTAACTGTCTTCCTTGCAGGCGTATGGGTATTATCCTATCAAAGACAACATTGTATGTCTAGATAGATCTTGATATGTTCCTTTTGCTGCTGAATGAAATGCTATTCCCCTTCAATTTGTCATAGTAAGCCTTGTGATGGTTACATTCAAAATGGTCAATACCAGTCCATTTCAACTTACAAAAGCCTAGGAGACCGATGTTTATGTGTTCCATTTCATTTTTTACAATTTCCAATTTTCCTAGATTCATACTTCATACATTCCATATTCTGATTATTAATGGATGTTTATAGTTATCTCTTCATTTTGAAGAGAAAATGATTTGAGTAGAAGTGGTGAAAAAGGACATCTTTATAAAAGTATTGAATAAAAGTAGTGAAAAGGGACATCTTTATCTGGTTCCTGTTCCCAAGAGAAAGCCATTCAGTCTCTCTCCATTGAGAGTAGAATTGGCCATTGGTTTTGCATATATGCCCATCATTATGCACAGCAATTTCTCTTAAATTCCAATTTTAAGTGTTTTTATGAGGAATGTTTGTTGGATTTTGTCAAATGCCTTTTCTGCATCAGTCAATATGATCACGTGGTTTTCTTTATTTTATTTATGTGGTGGATTATGCTGATTGTTTTTCTATTGTTCAACCATCCTTGCTGTATAAAAACCATGTGGGACCATGTCTGACTTCCCCTAGCTTGGACCATATTTGACTCTCCCTAGCTTTGCAAAGGGGAAAGAGAATCAAACTCACTATCAGGTCAAGACTGATTCCTATGAAGTGGAGGTCAGACATGCTTACACCCTACAACCTTCTTTATCCTGTTCTGACATCAACCATCCATCCCACGTACTTTCTGCATCACATCTGGGTTGGAGAATCCATTCCAAAGGCCACACAGAACTCATAACAATACTCATGATTATGGAGTTCACTATAGAAGTGAACAGGGAACAATTCAGTATTAAAAAACTTAGAATGCAGCAGTTCTCCAGTCAGGAATTCCTCTTGCCTGCCTCATGGTGTCCTTTAAAAGGTCAAGTGACTCCTGCCAGGTACTTGGGACAATGTCTGTCATGTAGAAATTGCTCCATGAATGTCAATTATTATTAAGGGCTCATTACACACAGAATAAAGACCTCTGGTAGAGTAGTGGTTATGAGTTGGGCTGCTTATCCCAAGATCTGCAGTTCGAAACTACCAGTTATTCCGAGGGAGAAAGATGAGACTTTCTGCCCCCATAAAGATTTACAGCCTCAGAAACCCTATCCAGGGTCGCTATGAGTTGGAACTGACTCCACGGCACATAACCACCACCACCACACACAGAATAATAGCATATCAGAGTTTTTAAAAAAATCCTTCAATTTGTAAATGAATGAGCTGAGGCCAATAAATATATAATTGTTGGCACAAAGTCATGTGAATAGAGACAATGTCATGAACTCTCTTAAATTCTATTAAGTGTTTGATTATTTTCTTACCTATGGATTATCTCTAACTACGGGACTGAATAATAGAATATTAGAGTTGAAAAAGACATTCAAGGCAATCTCCTCCAACTTTACCCAAAAAGATTATATTGCATGATCACTGGTCACAAACCTTTCACCTTAGCCTATGACATCATTTTACATATTTTAAATCACCCAGATTTTAAAAGATCCTAATAGAGCTGGTACCATAGTTACTAGTTAAGAAACATTGGGTGATATGATAGAATGGATGCTAAGGTCAGGTCCCCTGAGCTCATATGACAAACACTAGATGAAATCACAACCATTCCTAATGCCCATTTTTTGAAAAATAAGATTACTTTTTCAGGAAAACATTGTCTGGAATACTCATTATAATGTTGTGATTCAAGTTACCCCACAGATACATGAATGTTTTGCAGATAGTAAGTTTCCAGGTAAGAATTTGAAATTATGATTTTGACGAACTCTGGACAATGCTTTTTAGCCACCAGGAAAAGACACAGGGGCCAACCACCCATACCAGGCATAATTCATGAAGGTTTCAACTTTCTGTGTGATTCTCTGGAACAATATTCACCTTGGTTATGCAATCAGCAGCACTAGGGTCTAAAATTCAATCTAGCAGATAGACATTCTCAAGAGGAATTGCAGCCATAAAAACTTGCTGTTAACAAGACACAAATAAACCTGTGTGTAAGTATTCTCTCATCAGATGTAGTGGAATTCTATTCTCTGCTCCAACTCAATGCTAAGAGAAAAGATTTAATTTCTCTTTAATGCAAATGAAGCCCACTATGTGTCAGCAGCAGTCAGGGAGCAGGCTGAACTGAGTAATAACATTATGTGTCCACAACGAATGCTCATCCGCTCTTCTACACATAAGCCTCACGGAATCCCCAGTTTCTGTGTATGATTGTTTTATTTTAATTACTATTTTTGTGTATGATTATTTCACATGCCTGACTGTAGTCTGTGGACTCTGAGTTTTATGGCTTTGGATTGTAACCCTCAAAATAATGAGATTCCATAACTTCAATCTGAAAGCTGGATTATCTCTTTTATACAGGAAATTGAACAGCTAGCCTCCACTGATACCACAGAGAATGAATGCATTCTTTGAGCTTCTATAATATTTTATTTATACCTCTAACGTTATTCAGGGAGTTATCCTACAGGTATGGCTCTGTAGGATAAGCACTGGACTGCTAGCTGCAAGGTCGGCAGTTCAAAGCCACAAGAAGCACCTCTGAAATTCCATACAGGGTCACTATGAATTAGAACCAACTTGATGGCATTTGACAGCCATCACTTCACTCATAACAGCCTGATTTGTTACACCGTTGTGGTATCAATCTTTATGCATTCCATTTCATTTTTGACAACTTCAAGTATTCCTAGATCCATACTTCTACATTCCACGTTCCCATTACTGATGGATGTTTCCAGCTGTTTCTCTTCATTTTGAGTTGTGCCCCATCGGCAAATGAAAGTCCCGAAAGCTTACTCCATTTGCTTCATCATGGTCAACTCTACTTTGAGGAGGCAGTTCTTTGCGCAGTCGTATTGGAGCACCTTCCAATCTGAGGGGTTCATCTTCCGACACTGTGTTGTTGTTAATCAGACACTATTCTGGTGCTATTCATGTTTTCATCCTCTGGCATGAAATCTGACAATGTTCTGCTGTTATTTAGAAGGTTTTCAATGGCGAAACATTCAGAAGTAGTCCTCTGCTCCTTTTTTTTTTAGTCTTTGTTAGACTGGAAGCTCAGCTGAAACCTGTCCACCCAGGGTGACCCTGCTGGTATTTAAAATACCCGTGGCATAGCTTCCAGCATCACAGCAACATGCAAGCTACCACAGTGTGACAAACTGGCAGACGACTGGTTGCAAACACTTTTAGTCCATGACTACTAGGCCCAGGTGGCTCTATAATTAGCTGTGCTATATGCAGGGACCAGTCAAAAAATTTTAAAAAGGACCCATAATTCAAAAAGTAAGGAGCACTGAAGGTGCAATTAGAGCATTGGGTTTCTAAGTGGGAAGGTCAGTGGTTCAAATGCACCAGCTGCTCCACAGAAGAAGACGAGGCTGTATGATCCTGTAAAGATTTGTTATCTTGGAAACCCTAGGAGCAGTCTACTCTGTTTATAGGGTCGCTGAGTCTGGATCCACTCGATGACACTGGGAAGGTAGGTGATCAAAAGTATGAGGAATTTAAAGATGATAATCACAGAGCATTAAACCAAAGTGTGGGGTTCTGCTAGGTGTGGAACACTGTGGGACTGAATCTGTTCCCATTCTGTCTTCAAAGAGCTGCCAAGATAGTGGAAGACAAAAGTTACCGGGAGAAAAGCTACAGAAGAAACTCCTAACTTTAACATTTTCCACTGGAAGCTCATTTTTCAAGGAGTCCTGATGCTGTGCTATAGGGTAAGCACTGGATTGTTCAAACTCACCACCCGCTCCCTGGAAACCTTATCCAGGGCCCCTGTAATTCGGATTCGAGGGCACTTAACAACAGTTGAGTAGGAAGAGAAAGATATTCCAAACTGAAGGTGCAGTGCTAAATGGACACAGAATGTACCAGACATGTTTCAGAAATAAGATTACTTTTAAGGAGGGTGCTACAAGTGAACTTGAGGGCGAGAAAACTGAGATGAAGACTGGAAAGGCAGAGGTCAAATCTTATGGGAAAATCGGGTTGAACAATTACTGTCTACTATGTGCTAATGTTTTTGCCCCATATCAACATTTTAAAAGTCACAACAATCTTTTAAATAAACCATCAGAAACAGGTTAAATTTAGACTAAGTGTAGTAGTGTTTACACAGTGCTTTGCACAGGTTGTTTTTTCTTTTGTACCAACATAAAGTTGACTCAAACTGAAGGTAAACCTCTTTTGTGTCTGAATAGAACTGTACACAGTAGGGTTTTCAGTGGCTGATGTTTCTGGAATTGATCACCAGGCCATTCTTCTGAGGTGCCTAGCAGCAGGGGAACCAGAATTTCTAACCTTGGTGGAAATTTCGGCACACAGTAGCGTAGTGGTTACGAATTGGGCTGTGAACCCCAAGGTCAGCAGTTTGAAACTACCATCTGTTCCGCGGGAGAAAGATGAGGCTTTCTGCTCCCGTAAAGATTTACAGCCTCGGAAACCCTGTACAGGTTCGAACCGACTCCACAGCACATAACCTCCACCACCAGGCATCCAATTAAAGCTCAGGGAATGGCTGGTATTTGTATTAAGGTCCAGCCAGGACTCTTAACTCACACGCCGAGGCCAAGCTTTTTCTAAATGTGCTTTTAACCCCTACAGGGATCTTTTCTGTATCTCTCCAGAGTTCAAAGGTATTCTTTTTCGCCCCGCCCCCCATCCCCAAGTGTCGGAAATCGAATGGTAAAAGTACTTCCGGGTTAGCAAAGGTCGGCCTAGCAACATGGCGGCCCCCTTGGAGCTCAGTTGCTGGGGAGGCGGCTGGGGGCTTCCATCGGTGCACAGCGAGTCCCTGGTGGTAATGGTGAGGCCGCCTTGCGGGCCGGGCCCGGGCGCTGGGGAAAGGGGCAGGGCTCGAGGCAGGAGGCCCACAGCATCGGGCTCGGGCGGTCTTCCGCGGGTTCCTGCGGCGCTGTAAGGCTGAGGCCGTTCGGATAGCTGCACGCTGCGCCGCTCTGGTCTCTTCGTCGGCGAGTTGCAGCCTGGCTTGTGACCCCGCCGGGGACTGGCGGGAGCTTTATGGCTGCTCTGCTGAACTCTGTATTTCTTCAACCTTGCAAAGGGCGAAGCTGGGCACGCGCCCGCCCCTTATCTCCCGCGTCTTTTGGGTAATGAGCTCCCTAAAAGTTAGGTCACTAGCGCGGGCGCCCCTGACGGCTGATGAGGAGGAGGGCCGCGACCCTGGGAGGAGCCTCCTGCTCTCCCGGGACTGTGATGTACAGTAAAACAGCACTCCATATATGCATTACGCACTCGCACTAAAATGTTTTATTGCAAACTCTGTTTCAGGCTTATGCCAAATTTTCTGGTGCACCCTTGAAAGTCAATGTCATCGATAATACCTGGAGAGGTTCAAGAGGTACAATGTAAATTTTCAAATACTCTTTTCTGCCCTCTTTGCATTTGTTTGCATTTAAAGTCACAGGCTTGTAGCCACTGAAAACATTAGGATTTTAATTGCTTCTTAAGCTTGACCTTGGCTGTGTGTTGCTTGTGGTTTGATCATTCTGAGTAATAGCTCAAAGGGTAGGCCAAGTAAGTGTGGAAATTATGAGAAATGAAGTTTTTCTCTAGAACTTCTCTTTGTGAAAGTGAAGGAAGAAAAAAAGGCATACTGTTTTCCTCCCTTAAACTATGCAATTGTATTCCCAGTTTTTAGGGCTTTAAAACTTGTCACAGTAAATCTAAATGACTGGTTGTGTATAAACTGTTTTCTGATTTTAGGTGATGTACCAATTTTGACAACTGAAGACAATATTGTTTCTCAGCCGGCAAAAATACTAAACTTTTTAAGAAAACAGGTTGGTGGTTTCTTTTGAGGAAGTTTTTTGTAAAATACATATAACTTTTTTTGGGGGGTTGGGGGTGGCAAACAGCCCTTTAGACAGAGCTGTCTAGGATTTTACAGAAATAGGCTTGGGAATTGCAGCTCTAAAACATGAGTTTTGCTGTCATTTGACTCAGTTTATGTCCTTATGCACTTTTCTTGGATTTTAGCCATTTCATTATCATGTGCTTTGATAGGATGGTTGCTTTAGCTGTACAATTGCTACACATTCTGTGCTGAATATGACAGCTGAGTTCCCACTAACTAGCAGTTGTTAATTTTTAAAAGGTCTTAATCAACTGACATTGTTGTTAAATGCTGTCCGATTGGTTCTGACTCACAGGGGCCCTGTATAGTGGGGATATTGTTATTATTGTTGGGTGCCATGAAGTCAGTACCAACTCATAGTGACCTTATGCACAACAGAACGAAACACTGTCCGGTCTTGCGCCAACCTCACAGTCGTTGCTACATTTGAGCCCTTCACTGTTGCCAATGTGCCAGTCCATCCTGTTGGAGGTCTTCCTCTTTTTCTCCGATCCTCCATTTTACCAAACATGATATCCTTCTCCAGGGACTGGTCCCTCCTGATATTATGTTCAAAGTATGGGAGACGAAGTCTGGCCATCGTGGCTACCAGGGAGCATTCTGGCTGCACTTCTTCCAACACAGATCTGTTCTTTTGGCATTCCATGGTACTTTTAATAATTCTCTACCAGTGCCATAGCTCAAATGCATCAATTCTTCTACGGTCTTCCTTATTCACTGTCCAGTTTTCACATGCTTATGAGGTTATTGAAAATACCATGGCTTGGGTCACAGGCGCACCTTAGTCTTCAAGCTGACATCTTTGCTTTCCAACACTTTAAAGAGGTCTTGTGCAGCAGATTTGCCTAATGCAATATGTAAATTGATTTCTTGACTGCTGCTTCCATGAGTGTTAGTAGTTGATCAAGCACTCCATTTATCGTGATATTATTTATTGGCCCATTGCTAAGTTTATTTTATTTATGTTGAGGTGCAACCCATATCAAAGAGGTAGGGAACATTTTTTCTGCCAAAATTTATAATAGCATTCACCGGTCATACAAAATTATCCACTTATATCTGGTCAGACATTTAATTCACTCACTGCTATTGGGATGGCTGGAATTGTGGTTAACATGACAGGGCCAAGCCAAATGATTTAGCAGGACTTATGACGTATTGCGTTAGGCAAATCTGCTGCATAAGACCTTTTTAAAGTGTTGAAGAGCAGAGATGTCAGCTTGAGGACTAAGGTGCGCCTGACCCAAGCCATGGTATTTTCAGTAACCTCATATGCATGCGAAAGCTGGACAGTGAATAAGGAAGACCGTAGAAGAATTGATGCCTTTGAATTATGACGTTGGAGGAGAATGTTGAAAGTGCCCTGGGCTGCCAAAAGAACCAATAGATCCATTTTGAAAGAAGTGCAGCCAGAGTGCTCCTTGGAGGCCAGGATGGCCAAACTTCATCTCGCATGTTGTTGTTGTTAAGTGCCATAGACTCAGTTCTGACCCATAGCAACCCTGTCTAGGGTTTCCGAGGAGCAGCTGGTGAGCTTGAACCTCCGACCTTGCGGTTAAAACAGCTTTGCAGTCTGGCATGTTAACCCACAGCGCAACACAAGACTCCTCATCTCTCATACTTCGGACATATTGTCAGGAGGGACCAGTCGCTAGAGAAGGATATCATGTTTGTTAAGGTGGCTAAGGTGGCGGGTCAGAGAAGAGGAAGACCCCCAGCGAGATGGATTGGCAGAGTGGCAGCAGCAGTGGGCTCAAGTGTGGCAACAGTTGTGAGGTTGGCCTAGGACCAGGCATCGTTTCGTTCTGTTGTGCATAGGGTCACTATGAGTCGGTACTGACTCGATGGCACCTAACAACAACAACAACAAATGTGGTCCATAGGCCAGACGTAATCCACCCCTGCTTTATAGGGTTCCCGAGGAGTGACTCGAGGGTTTGAATGCTGACCTTGTGGTTCGTAGTCCAGTGCTTAGCCTACATCGCCACACCAAGAATCCAGTCAACTGAAAATTGTTGTCAAGTTGTGTCTGACTCATAGCAACTCTGTATAGGGTTTCTGAGGAGCAGAGCTGGAACCACTGACATTTCAGTTCACACTGACCTTGTGGTCCAGTAAATAGTTGCAGTTAAATCAATGTTTTATGACATGGTGTAACAATGAATTTAAACATGAGAAGATTTACATATATGAAGAAGCTATCATTTGCCCATGCTTTTTATAAAAAATCCTGCACCTTTAGAATGTAGAACTTTTCTAAATTGGAAGGCCTTAAAATGCAACCAGTTTGGAACTTTTTCTTAATAATCTGAACAAAAATAATCTCATTTATTAGGTTCACGCTACTTGGGGGTTGTGTGCCATGGAGTTGGTTCTGACTTATATCTGTTCTGTGTAGGACGTCTGAAGCTGTAAATCTCTACAGGAACAGAAAGCTGCCTCTTTCTCCAGAAGAGCGGCTGGTAGATTCGCACTACTGCTGACCTTGTGATAACTCGTAACCCACTAGGTTACTACCATTCATAGTAACCCTGATTAGCGCTTCCAAGGAGTGCCTGGTGGGTTTGAACAGCGGCCTTCAGTGCCAGAAGCACAGTAGTTAAAGTCCTTATTAGTATTTATTCAGCTTACTGTGTACATGGTGCTATGCTCTGAACTTCATGTTCCTCAAGTAACAGTTTTCACTGGATTGAGGGTATCTTTTATTATTGTTGTTACTAGGTGCCATCAAGTTGGTTTTGACTCTTAGTGACCCTGTATAGGGTTTCCAAGAAGCATCTGGTGAGTTTGAACTGCTGACTTTGTGGTTCAAACTGACCTTGCAGTCCTGTGCTGTATCCCACAGCGCCAGTATCATGCTTTTGTTGCTGTTTTTAAGTGCTGTTAAGTTGGTTCCAACTCATAGCGACTCTGTACAGGGTTTCTGAAGAGCTGCTGGTGAGTTTGAATCGCTGATCATACGGTTCAAACTGACCTCATGGACACATGGAGTTTCCAGGAGTTACCACCTTGTTAACTGTGGCGTGATGATTACCAAACATGGTGATAGACAAATGCAAAGTCTTGGATCCTACTCCAGACTTACTGAGTTACTCTCTCTCAGTTCGAACCTCTGATTTTATGGTTTAGACTGACCTTGTGCTTATCCTACAGTGCCACACCAGGACTCCAATATCATGTTAGGAATCTTAATTTTAGTTTCACTGCCTTTAGGATGGTTGACATCTGGGGTTCTTTGGTTTTATGTTTTTTAATAGAAATATAATGCTGATTATGAACTCTCTGCAAAACAAGGGGCTGATACACTGGCTTACATTGCTCTTCTTGAAGAGAAGCTGCTCCCTGCCATGGTAAGCATTCATATAGTCATACATATGACAGGGTTTTCCTGACCTGGTTGAAATGCACTTAAGCAATTTAGAAAAAAAAAATGATAAAGGCTGCAAGAAGAGAGGAAATTTCCTTTATGTATTATTAGTCATGGTTCTCTCATACTACTGTGAAAAGGGATCGTGCCAGACACCCAACTAGTTTGTGAAACAATGAAGTGAAAGATAATACCATTTTGGAAATAAAATTTATTTGTAGGAAATGTTGCTTATTGCTCCATGTATACAGTAGACTGAATTGCTCATCAGTCACTTGACACATACTTATTGAGCACCTATTATGTGTCACGCCATATTCTAGGTGTCTGGAATATTTTTGTTGTTGTTAAGTACCGTGGAGTCAGTTCCGACTCATAGTGACCCTGCACAGGGTTTCCGAGGCTGCAAATCTTTATGGGAGCAGAAAGCCTCATCTTTCTCCCACAGAGCAGCTGGCCTGGAATAGAGTAGTGAACAAAACACACATATTTAAAGTAATCTTGTTTTATTCTTGAGTTGTTCTAACTGGACAGTTTGTGTAAAGTAGCTCTATACACAAACTTCTGGGAAACGAACACAACAAGTGGTAGATTTTTTTTGTTAAAGAACATGGTTGCAGTATTTTTCTCTTTCTCTTTGCAGCTTCACACATTCTGGGTTGAAAGTGACAATTACTTTACTGTGACAAAACCATGGTTTGCCTCACGAATCCCTTTCCCCTTGAGTTTGATCCTGCCTGGAAGAATGTCAAAAGGAGCACTGAATAGGATCCTCTTAACCAGAGGAGAGCCTCCTCTCTACCACCTCCGAGAAGTGGAAGCACAGGTATGGTCGGGGCTACTTCGAAAGCAGGGGCTCATCAAGAGGAGGGACCCAGAGATAGTAGCGGAGACGGCTACTCCTAGACAACTGCCTTACAAGTCGTTTTAAAGTGTCTTTCCTACCTTTGAGATGTAATTTCATCCTTATTAGATATACAGAGATGCCAAGGAGTGCTTAAATCTTCTGTCAAAGAGATTGGGAACATCTCAGTTTTTCTTTGGAGATACGTGAGTCCATTCCCTTAAGTTTCATTTTGATATTTTGTGCACGTATATGTAGTGAGCATATATTCAAAGGAAGTTCCCTTGTCCCACTAAAAGGTAAGTTTTCCCTTTTTTTTTTTTTTTTTTTTAAGGATGTAATGGGTTTTTATTATAGGAAACCTTTTCTATAGGTTGTGACTATTACATACTTAATATGCTTTTCTTATGTGTGTTAAAACATTCTTAATTTATTTTTAGGCCTTCTACCTTGGATGCCTATGTATTTGGTTTCCTTGCACCTCTTTACAAAGTGCACTTTCCTAAAGTTCAGTTGCAAGAACATTTGAAACAGCTTTCCAATCTGTGTCGCTTTTGTGATGACATCCTAAGCAGTTATTTTAGGCTTAGCCTTACAGGTAAGCTGTCTCTTCTTTAGTTAATATTTGCTTGCCTATTGAATAGATATCCCTTAAGATGATGTAATTAAAATTCATTGCTTATTTTAATGACGTTTGTGTATTGTGCTTAAATGCTGATCTATAGCACTTCAAAAAGTTGCATTTTTCCAACTTCATTTTTATTCCCATATGTGTTAAATAGGTACTTGTCTTTCATCTGTTCTTCTGGATTGTATGCGTTTCTTGATTCTTGAGCTTTAAATATTGCCCCTTTGAAGTGGGTCATTTTCTAAACGACTAAACCACCCACAGGTATTTATTGAATCTCTGCTGAAAAATAGCATTTATCCTAATGCAAATGGGCAATGACTTTAAATCATTCTTACCTGCTGCTTCTAGCATTTTCCTGCGTGAACAGAAATCAGCAGCAGATTGGTTTTGGTGAGGTACACTCCCATGATTCCACTACTTGAAAACTGATTGCAGCAGACTGGAGGTATAGTAAACAGAGAACACCTGCCATTTAGGATATGCTACTTTGGGGGATGTGGGACCTTGCACTTAAGTGATTGGGATACCAAATTTTTATTGGAAGAATTGGCTGAAATTTTCCTTTTAAGAAACAGAAGTCATAAGAGTTAGCTTAGGTGGATAGTTTATTTTTATGATGGGTTCTGCCTTTAGCATGTAGGAAGGACCTGGCAGTTTGAGAGTCATCAAATTAAGTGATTGACTAGCCAAAAGTCTGGCAGTTGGAACCCATCCAGCGGTATCTTGGAAAACAAACCTGGTGACCTTCTGAATGGTAACAGCCTTGAGAACCCTAAGGGCCAGTTCTGCCATTGTTATTAAGTGCCATCAAGTTGGTTCCGACTCATAGCAACCCTGTACAGGGTTCCCAAGGAGCAGCTGGTGAGTTTGAACCACCAAACTTGAGGAATCTCCATGAGTAGGAATAGACTTAAGATTACCACCTTGTTAATGTGGCCTGATGGTTTCCAAACATGATTTAAGACAAATACAGCATCTTGGATCCTACTCCAGACTTACTGAGTTACAATCTCTTAGGGATAGGTTGAGGGAGGGGAGGAACAACTTAAAGGAAATGAGGACTGCTGTGCTCTTTCACTAATAACTGTGACTAGCTGCATGACACTCTGGCTAACCTGTCCACTTAGAGAACAAATTTTAGTACTTTTGTTTATGGTTTAATTTTGAAACATTACCATCCCTCTAACTTTGCCTATGGACACAGAATGGTTGTGGTCTCTGCCCTTTTTATATTTTGAGAGTGGGGCACTTGAGAGGGTGGGTGGACTCTTAAATCTATTCAATCTAAATCGCTTTAAAGGCTTTCACAATTCCCTGTCTTTCTCTGATTTCTGTCCTGGCTTCTTAGGCATCTCTCCAGCTGGACAAGATACAGTAGATGCAAATCTGCAGAAACTCACACAGCTTGTAAATAAGGAATCCAACTTGATTGAAAAGGTCAAGCTTACTTCAATCATTACTTTGTAGTAATATAGTATTTTCCTTTCTATGGTTAATAATGCAAATAAGATCATGCATTAAATTTTTACCCTTGTAAAGTTTTGTTTTAGTATATTTTTCAGAAGGTGGTTTAAGTATATATTTATTAAAATTGTAAATAAGCTAGTGTTTTGAATCCAGTAGTGGCCTGATTACTTTGGGGCAAGATTGGATAATGGTATTGGGTTTATATTTATCTCACAGTTAATACTTACCAAGTTCGGAGATGCAGCAAGCTGTCTTTAAGCAAGCATGTGAAACACGCGAACAGTCACCTTGCTTGTCTGCCTGTCTCTGCCTCTGAAGATGAACATTTCTGGCGATTTGAAGCACCTGTGTTTATTCTGTTACATGCTTTATAATGTTATTTTTCTTGCTTGCCCATGATGTTTTATTTTTTTCCTCCTTACTGTCCTGTGTTCTAAATGTAGCTTGCAGTTTTTCACCAGTGTGGATCTTTTCCCACTTTGGGAATGTTCATTTGATGCAAGAAATACCAAAGAACTGGGTAGGGAAGAGAGTCAGTAACAGAAATCTTAAGGGCAATTCTAATTGAAATATTCAAGAGGTTTACTCATTTTTCCCATGTCTGATGAATTGCTTTTTTCTTGTACAAATGAATAAGACTTCATTCTTTCATAATCTAGGGGGGCAGTGTGTCCTAATAACTCTGCTTACTAGGTTTTGAGGTCTGAGTAACAGGTACTGTGTTATCTGAGCTTTGTGTGTGTGTTCCCTCATTTAATCTGTACAGTGGCTCTGTGTGTGCAGGCCCTGTTATCATTCCCATTTTACAGATGAGCATACTGAAGCATTGAGAGTAGTTTATTCCTGTGTCTAATTCATTCTGGCAAGAGGTAGAGAGGAAATTTGAACCCTAGAAATCTGACTCCAGAGACTGACTGACCCAGAACTTGGGCTCCTGGCATTATTCTCATTAGCACTCAGCCAACAAATGAATGAGATTATGTAACCATTACTGGTAGTACAGTAGTCAGGTTCATAACTCATTCTCTGGAGAGGGTCTTCATCTTTGTACAGTATTTTATATGTTAAAATTTGAAGTGATAAAATTATAAGGATCCATTATTGACATTTTGGTGGGTTGAATTAAAACCTAGTCTGTCTAATCCCGAGCCCACCTTGTGGGAGGAAATACATTGAGTGTCTAGCGTGGATGAAGAAAAGACCACTGGGATCACTTGGATGCTCCTTTGCTAGATGCAGACTATCTAATATATTAGTTTCTCAGCTTTTCTGTGTGACAGACCTGGAAATGAAGCCATGAAATCCATGTGCAGTTGCTGAAACCCAGAGGTCCTGTCACCACTTGGTCCTCTTTCTTCCTCTGGGTCATCACTGATACGTGCAAGTTTCCTGACCCTGTTTCAGTTAGGGCCTCCCCCCGCTCCCCGCCCCAATTATATCTGCTCTTGGCTGGGGAGTGTGGTGCAGTGCTTGCTATAACACGATAGAGCAACAAATCTGTTGGTCAACACTGTTCAGAACTCGGACAGAAAATCTGGAACTTAAATAAAGGCTTATATTTGAGGAACTGAGTTCTTACAAGAAAAAAAGACATCTTGGCACAATTGGTTCAGTTTTGTCACTAGGAATTAGGTTTTCATTTGAATCTTTTGTTTTGTTTCTTGTCCTTCAATTCCAGTGTACCTCTACTGAAATAGTTCCCCTGTGCTTTATAAAAGCATTTTGAAAACCTAAGGGAAGTTTTTTAATACTCTGCATATTCAAACTCTATTAAGTGGATAATAAGATGCTGTTTTCTTTTGGGTTTGTGTTTTTTTAAGACAGCTACTTCCAAGTCTATTATGAAATTAAGCTGATAGTGAACTCAGCACCAGGACCTGGACCTTACATTCTGTGGGATACTCTGGGTAAAGGTAGTTCTCTGCTAAAGATAGACTCAGGGCTTGATAAAATATATCCTGTTGATCACAGAAATGTACTGTCCTTAGGGTAAGTCTGAGACACTTGAGGCTTTTGATATGGCCCACATCAGTGTCCTTCTCCAGGGCAGTACTATGAACTGGTTCAAACCGGTTCAGCAAAATCAGAACAGATCTAAATTTGTAAAATGTGGCTGTTGTTGTTGTTGTTAAGTGCCGTCGAGTCGGTTCCGACCCATAGCGACCCTGTACAGGGTTTCCGAGGGTGTAAATCTTTACGGGAGTAGTAAGCCTCATCTTTCTCCCGCGGAGCAGCTGGTAGTTTCGAACCGCTGACCTTAAGGTTCGCAGCCCAATTCGTAACCACTCCAGACTGTAACCAGAACAAGAAGACTTAGGGTGGAAGCCCTAGAATGGGAGACTTGAAAGAGGCATAGTAAGCCCTTTCAGGAGCTTGATGTGGCAGATTGGATTATTGCCAGGACCCTGGAGTATGAAAGGAGCCCTGGTGGCACAGTGGGTTAAGCATTTTGGGCTGCTAACAGAAAGGTTGGTGGTTTGAGCCTACCTGCCATTTTTTGGGAGAAAGGTGTCGTGTACTTCCATAAAGATTTACAGCCTGAGAAACCTGAGGGAGCAGTTCTCCGTCCTGTAGGGTCACTGTGAGTCGAAATGGATGCCATGAGAGTGGATTTGGTTTAGTTTTTGGTGGAGAACAATACACATTCAAAGTGGTCTAGTTGGCTGCCATCTTTGAGTGAGGCATCGTTGTTTCCAGCTCTGCCAATCAAGAGATTTGGTTACTATGCAAAACACACATTGCGCTAGTTTTCTAAGAAGGAGATTATGTTTCTGTTAGGACTTCAACTGTAATTTTTCCCTTTCCAGCACACCCACATTTTACACTTCCAGGTCTGTTCCAGTTTCACTCTGTTGGCCCTGGTTGGACTGGGAGAACGGGTTTGAAGCCTTATTTAGAACTGACCCAGTATTGAGAAGATCTCTGGATTAGCTCTAAAGAATCTATCCTCCTTCTGCTGCTTTTCCTAATTTACCTTGGCCTAAATATCCTCAGCTTAAAAGAGCTGGCTTTTTGGACTAGAGTACAGGGTGTTTTCATTGAGGGAATGAGGTGTCATTGTAGTGTTGGCGTACGAACCCTGGGGTTAAGTGTCAGCTCTTATACTAGCTTTGTAACCTGGGCAGATCACTTAACCTTTCTGGGCCTCGGTTTGCTGATCTGTAGAATGGGGAATGATTGTGTGTGCCTTTCCTTTCTCACAGCTGAGAATCACAGAGGTATTGTATGTGAATGTACTTTGTCAACTGTGAAGTTTAGTGTAGCCAAAGTATTACTTTTACACTTAATATTAGAAGAGCTCTTAAACTGTGTCACATTATGATAGAGTTCAGTATTTTTTATTTTGTGGAGTTACTTTAGTCTTGTGAGGGTATCAAGGAAGAGCCACACTACTTTTCTCAGATGCTGAGTCAGCTGGTATTTGAGGTATAACATTTCAAATTCTTGGGAGCGTATTTGCAAAAAAAAAGGTTTCTTTGGCAGTCCTGGAACCATTTGGTTCTGTCCTCTCGTCGGCTGTAACTTGGATGGGGAGGCCACAGGTGTGCTGCCACAGCCGTTAGTCAGCTGTGTCTCTTGTACTTTGTGCAGATGGATGACAATCTTCGCCAAAGCCCTCAGCTTCCTCCTCGTAAGCTGCCAACACTCAGATTGACTCCAGCAGAGGAAGAAAGTCATTCCTTACAACGGCTCTCACCCTGACAGTCGTCATGCTTCGTGCCCAAGCTTTTGCCTTCAAGTCATGATTGTCAGTAATCTCTCCAACTAAGTGTGTTCAGACAAAAGAAATTGTTCCTTTTGTTATAAGGAAGTCTAAAACAAAAGGAACCTTCTATGCCGCCTATTTTTTTTTTTTTTATTAGGTAGCTTTTACTTTAGCTTGGCAATGCACTTTAAAATAACATCAAAGTGACCACTAAGTGAACTTGGGGGGGATTTCTGATGTACTGTATGTGAATATATAGATATAAAGAAACAAACAAAAGGAAAGCCTGCCTTAGTCTTGGCAGATTTTGCTTTTGGTTCACATGTCACTGACCAAAAGCTGCAACTCTTTTCTGAATGTGCACTCCTAATTTATTCAAGTTAATTTATTCAATTTACTAGTTAAGTTTTCTTAGACGAGTCTGAATATTTAGTATGTGGTTATTTGGCTGAGAGTTTTTTCCTTCTGTTAAAAATCTGATACCTATTTTTGGAACTAGGAAAAATATAAACTACTTCAATAGAAAAACCTGTTCTTAATATTAAAAACAAAAAGAGGAGTGTGTTTTTTAATAATGCTGTCATAAGTCTAACGGTTTTGGGGCCGGTTTGTTGGTAAGTGCTGCTGCTGAGTCAGTTCCAACCCTGTGTAGGGTTTCTGAGGCTGTAAATCTTTGTTAGAGCAAAAAACCTCATAATTTCTCCCATAGAGTATGGTTAGCAGTCCATTGCTTACAGAACCCTGGCATTCCCATTTTGGGGTTTGGTATCACATATGTAAACATAAGGAATCCTGATGTGGTGCTGTAGAATAAGCACCGAAATGCTAACTACAAGGTCTGCGCTTCAAACTCACCAGCTGCTCCTTAGAAACCGTGTTATTCAGGGTTGCTATGAGTTGGAACCGACCTGATGGCACTTAACAACAGCAACCTAAATGATGGTTATGTATAAACTTTGTCTGATTATATGCACTTCAATATGACATCAATGTTTATTTATGCGTTCAGTATAGGTTAGCAAGAACTTTAAGTTTATGGGGCAGCTGTGCCAGCTTTAGACCTATGTGTTTGTAGTATATCTGTAAGTCTTGTCATCTCTATCTCGGATTGATTCCATGAGAACTGAGTGTGTTGTTGTCATTCTGCCAGGCTGCAAAGTCTCACTGCTCAGAGGGAGCCCACCGCCAGAGCAACAGAAGTACTTACTGTGCGTTGGACCCTGGTTACCACCCTCCTTTCTCAGATCGGCGTTCTTTCAGAGGGAGCATATCAAGTGGTCAGAAGCTTTCTGACAACCAATCATTTTCCATAGATTTTAACTACAGTTCAAGGATCCAAAGGCATAATTGAAACATAGCATAGACTTTTAAGTGGATTTTCTATTTATGAGTTGCAGGAATGTTACAGGATTTGCCATGTTGGTAATTTTCTTACAGTGGAAACTTGCTTATTTTAGTGGCCGAGGTACTGCTGTTGTCATGAAACCACGTCTGAGGTTTGTTTCTAAATAAAGGACCATGCTTTTGGTTAGTGTCTTAGAAGATTACTGTGGTGCTCAGCAAATCTTATCAAATCCTGCAGAAACCCACATGGTAAGAAAAATGTAAGCTGAGTGAAGCGCAGCTGTGTTTGACCCTCATCCTCCCAGTTTATTGTGAAGTTAGGTAGTCATTTACACAGCGTTCATTAGATCAATGTAAATATTTTTTCTTGAAAGTTTTAAGTAAATGAGCACTGAAATTGTCTTAAATTTTGTTCATCTGTTTGGATGCATTTGGGGCAAATGCCTAATGGGTTTCACATTACTTCTATAGAAGGATGAGTGCATGTGAGTCTTATTTTATGTTAATCTTCAAAGGCAGGTTGTTAGATTCTAGTCATCTGAAATCTGTGTGACTGTTGTATATTGAAGGAGCTCTGGTAGTATAGTTGTTACGAATCGGGTTGCTAACCGCAAGGTTAGCAGTTCAAAACTGCCAGTTGTTCCATGGGAGAAAGATGAGGCTTTCTGCTCCCATAAAGATTTCCAGCCTCAGAAACCCTATACAGGGTCACTATGAGTCAGAACTGACTCCATGGCACATAACCACGACCACCACCATTGTATATTGAGACTCCTGACCCAGGGGACATTATTGTCCTCGGATTGATATATTTGGTAGAAGGATGGTTCGCACATTCATCAGACATCTGTTTATGCTTTAGTCAGGGTTAGTCATTTTCAAGCATGATTTATATTAAACCTTCCAGAAAGCATTTGAAGTGGCTTCCAATTATAAAACAGGACAATTAAAGTTAGTTTTGGGGTATGGGAGGGGAGTAAGAGAGAGACACATCAATACTGAGGAGTCTAAGATCGAATAATAAATTTTAAACTCTAAGGTTTTCCATTGCCAGGGTCAAAAGATAATACTGACTTAATGTTATCGTTCTTTCAATAAAATTGTTAATGTCCATGAGTAAGAAAAATGTGTTTAGATTTTTATAACTGTGGAAAATTATGTTCTTGAAATGCGCAGACGTCAACCAAGAATTGTAGTGCAATGAAAATTTAAATCAAAAAGGTCATTTTAGAATAAAAAGTATCTGTTCTTTTTAGACAAGAAAAACAAACGAGAACTCTAAAGTATGATTTATTTGCTTTCTGATCATCCCTACTATGAATTGCTTTTGTTGTTGTTAATTGCCGTTGAGTAGCAACCCTGTAAAGGGTTTATGAGGAGCAGCTGATGGGCTTGAACTGCTGACCTTGTGGTTCACAGTCCAGTGCTGATCCTGCAGCGCCACACCAGGAGCCTTCTGTCCACGATGCTTCCCAAACTACCTTTAAGATGCAAAATGGGGTTGGGATAATGAGAATGTGTTGGGTATTTAGGTAAGCTGTGTTTTTGTAAAGCAAATGAGATGTTAGGAAGCTGTACCCAAAGCTATCAGTTCCCACTCATGACACTGTAGAATTTTCAGTAGGGTTTCCAAGGCTGTTCATATTTACAGGAGCACCTGTCACATCTTTCTTGTGTGGAGGATGGTAGGTTTGAACTGCTGACCTTTCAGTTAGTTGCCAAGCACTTTAACTTGCAACACAGGGCTCCCTAGGAAGCTATAACAAAACTCTTTCAGGACCAGCCATGTTGGAAAGGAACACATTTTCATACTGGGATGAGAGCTTGTAGTCAGCCTGGGTAGATATAATTTAGATAAAAGTTTGAGTTTGTTGGGATAACTGGGCAGCAATCTGAAGCAAGATTATTGTAAGCTATTTTCTTTTTCAGGTAATGATGGAGGATAAAAGGGAATATGCTTGTGTTTATATTTGTTGGTAATGTGTTAAGTGTTGTCTCTTTTGATGCATAGTTTCCCTGTATAGGGTTTCTGTGGAGCAGCCAGTGGGTTTGAACTGCCAACCTTGTGGTTCACAGTCCAGTGGTGATCCTGTAGCACCACAACAGAAGTCCTATTGGTAGTCTGTTGTTGTGTTGAGTGCTATCGAGTCAGTTCTGACTCATAGCCATCCTGTAAAGCGTTTCCTAGGCATTAAACCTTTGAGGGAGCAGAAAGCCTCATCTTTCTCCCGAGGACCTTGTGGTTCGTGGTCTAGTGTTCGTTGTTTGGAGCCACCACAGTCTTCCATTAAGACTGGTGGTGGTGTGCCGTGGTGTGAGTTCCAACTCATAGTGACCCTGCACAGTGTTTCCGAGGCTGCAAATCTTTATGGGAGCAGCAAGCCTCCTCTTTCTCCTGCGGAACAGCTGGTAGTTTTGAACTGCCGACTTTGAGGTTAATAGCCCAATTCATAACCACGACGCTACCAGAGCTCCTTTTGACGACATATACCACCTGATACTAGCTCACTCTAATCAAAGCTGAGTTAGAATTTTCAGAAGTCTGCCAAAGTGGTAAAAGCTAAATATCAAAAAAGAGGCAGAAATTACTAACAGTGATGGTATCTCAAAACCAATTTGTTGAGGTAGCTCTTTGTGATAATAGTAGTATTTGAACCTTGTGCTGTGTTTCTTTAGAGCCTCCTTTAACCCAGGTTAGTAAATTTTTGGCAGTGTTTCATAAACTCAAGTATTTTAAGTCTTTAAAAATTAAAACATAAATGTTTAAACGTGTACTCAGGAAGCTTAGTGATAGGTACATAGGATCTCTGCAGTTTTATTTTGCAACTTCCTGTGAGTCTATAGTTATTTTAAAATAGCAAGTGTTTAAGTCAGTAAAATAAGATGATAATTATTTACATAAATTACAATTTCAAATGTAATGTGTCAGGCATAGTATTTGAATTATAAAACAAAAACAATTTCATTCTTGAACTTAGAGGAAAATACCCAAAACTCAGGTTTATCACCAAAGATCTATTTTGCCTTTTCAGCCCAAAACAACAACCTAAAATCAAGAACTCTTTCCTACAGGATACGAAGTATTTTTTGGTTTTATGTTTCTGATGCTATTTCTTTTTTTTACCCCCAGTGGTACACGAGTTTACTTTCAAGGATGAAATGCTTTTGGGAAAGTTCTTTGCCTGGTGCTTGTTTTCTGTGTGGTTCCACAGTGTGGTGAGATGCTGCGAGGGCCAGGCTGTGATCAGAAGCTGGGACATGTCTGTGAGCTGTTGTTTAAGCTCACAAGGACTTAGTAATGGGCATTGTCATAGTTTGATTATATTACTAGTTGGAATCCCGAGCAGAGCTCTTCCTTAGTTGTGAGACAGTATGTACTTGTATGTACTTGTGCTCACCAAGGGGGATGAGGGAAATCTAGTGACAGAACCTGTCTAGGGTTTCTGAGGAGCGGCTGGTGAGTCTGAACCTTTGACCTTGTAGTTCAAACAGCCCTTGCGGTCCAGTGTGTATCCTCCAGTGCCATACCAGGAATCTAAGATGTTTCCTAGGACTGGACTTTAATAAAGAAGATGGGGCCTGTTCCCTAGAACCCCAGTCATCCTGGAACAGCGGGGCAGATAGCTAAACTAGTAGTTTCAAAGGAAATCCT